CAGGAATTGGTTGTTGTTTTTGAGACAGGGTCTCCCTGTAGCCCCAGCTGGTCTGGAACTCACTATATGCACTACGTTGAACTCACAGAGATCTGCCTGCCTCTGCCTCTGCCTACTGAGTGCTAGGATTAAAGGCATGCTCCACCATGGTGCCATTCTTTTTTTTTTAATAGCAAATTTTAGCTTCACAGCAAAATTGAACAGAAAGTACAGAGTTCCTTTATCTCTTTTGTTACCACATGTATATAACTTTCACTTCTGTTAATATCCAGTACCAAAGTGATACATTTATTTATTTATTTATTTGTGTTTATTTATTTTTTGATTTTTGAGACGGGGTCTCTCTATAGCCCCAGGTGCTCTGGAACTTGCTATGTAGATCAGGCTGACCTTGATCTCACAGTGATCCATCCACCTTCTTCTGCCTCCTAAGTACTGAAGTTAAAAAGAATTCACCACCATGCCTGACTGGTACATTTATTAAAATCAGTGAATCTACACTGAGACATCATCATTCAAAATCTGTGATTCATATTAGGGCCCATTCTTCCTGTTGTATTTTGTGTGGACTTGCACAAATGCATAATGACTTCTTTTAAAAAAATTTTTTTAGAGTTTTAATGTGTGTGAGTGTATTGCCTCTGTATAATTAAGTACACCCATGTTGAGCAATGCCCGAGGAGGACAAAGGGTGTCGAATCCCCTGGAGGATGACATGATCTGATTTATGTCTTGAAAGAAGTTTGGCTGTTCCAGTGAATAGACTGAAAGATAAGAGTAGAAATAGGGAGACTGTTTAGAAAACTGGTATAGTAAGCAGTAGTTCAAGCCAGATAAGTGATTTAGATCAGCATAAGAGAAGATGTGGGGGTATAGGGAAGAAAATAGATGAGAAAAGGACAGATTCTAGATGTATTTTGATTTTTCAGATCATAAGATTTGCTAATTGAATGTGTGTTAAACCAGAAAGAGACATCAAAAATGACTTGGGTTTTTAATCTGAGCAGTTTAAGAATGACATTACCATTTATTGAGATGAGGAGGATGTGGGGTGGGAATGGGTGGGTAACAGTTTGGTTTAGACATGTTGAATTTGAGATACCTCTAGACGGCCAAGACAGATGTCAAATAGGGACGGTTGGATTTAGAGGAGTACTGACTGGAGATATAAATTTGTGTATTGTCATCATATGAATGGCATTCAAAACTGTGACTCAGGGTATAGACCATTAAGAGAATGGGTGTGAAAGGGAGGGAGATAGAACCAAGGACTGAGATTGGGAGGTGAAGAGGAGCCAGAAGAGGAGACCAAGATGGATAGGTCAGTGAGGTAAGAGGAAAGCCAGGAGGGTTATTGTATTAGCAGCCAAGTTAAGAAAGGTTTTGGAGGTGGAGAGGAGTTAATGCTGGTATAATAAATGAGTTAAAATTGAGCATTGGCTTTGAAATAACATTGGTGACCATAGCAGACAATTTCAGTGGGTTGCTTGGGGTTCAGGAGAGAAAAGGGAAAAATTATTGGAGTTGGGAATTTTGCTATAGTGAGAAGGAGGGAAATGTAACAAAGGTACAGTTCTTTAAAGGTAAGACAGCTGGGTGTGGTGGCATATGCCTTTAATCCCAGGACTGAGGAGCCAGAGGTGGGTGGATCTCTCTGAGTTCAAGGCCAGTCTGGTCTATATAGTGAGTTCCAGGCCAGCTGGGGCTCCAGGGAGACCCTGTCTCAATATGACCAAAAAAAGAAAGGTAAGACAAATCACAGTATCCTGTGGGCATGTGCACAATTACAGAGATAGTTGTGCTGATTTATGTCTCCCTGTTCTTTGAGTTAATGCTAAAATTGATGAAAGTCTTTTAGGAAAGCTATAATGTAGTCAATAAATGCTATCCCAGTACATTTTAGGCAGCATTCTTGCCATTACATATTTATTAGAGCTTTTGACAGCAAAGTTAACTAATTTTCTTTCATTCTTATTGCCACTATTCAAATACATGCAGGGATTGTTAGAATGTTAGAGTAGCAGGAAGTGTGAATGAATGCAGTCACTGGGAAGAGTATTAAATTATTTCAATAAACATATGACAGTCTCACTGAAATAATATGTCAGGAAGTGAATAACAGATTATTTTAAAAGATACTGCTTAGAAGCTTTTTGATATCAGCGATTTCCCATTAACAGTTATGATTACTCTCTGATAAACCTGTAAATAGTTTCTTATCTTAAATATTTTTGTCTTTATACTATCCCAGAGGATGAATTTTCATTTGAGATCTATAGTTTTGAATGGCAGTTCTTACACTTATTAGCAGATTTACTTTAAATTTCTTTATCCCTGATTCTTGATTTAAATTTTTTAACGTTTATATTTATTATTATTATTTGTGTGTATGTGTACATGTGTGGGTGTGCATATGTACAGCACGCTGTGGAGGTCAGAGAACAGCTCTCAAATCCATGTGGGTTCTGAGGATTGAAATCAGGTCATTAGGCTTGATGGTGTGCACCCATACCTGCTGAGCCACCTCCCTGGCTCCTAATTTTTAATCTGTAAAAAGGAGCTAGTAATACCTACTCTACCGAATGCTATAAGGAGTAAATGAGTATATGTGTGTGTATGTGTATATGTGTGTGTGTGTGACCCTGATAAATAAGTTATAGAGTGTAATACACAGATGTTTCTATTTTTCATCCTTTCTATTGAAACTGTTGTTAGATTTCATTTTCTTTCTTGTTGTAGACACTAACTGAATTTCTAGTTAAATTATAAATGAAAGCTTGCTTGGTTTTATTGATATGCTACTTATAAGTCATTTGTCTGATTACTTTGCTTAGAGGCAAATTAAGGATACATGTGCATACTTATGTAATGCGAGGAAACAAATTTCTCACAAGGTTTTTACTGAGGAACTAGATATATAATAATATTTGAAGACAGTACTTTAATTGTATGTCTACTAATGAATAGAAAAGGAATTCTTTCTTGAGCCATAATGTTATACCTAACTGGAATTCAAAATTAGTATTCCCTATTATTAGATTCATTACAAAATGTTCAACTTAAGACTGACTCTCTTTAGTTTCTGGGCTATATAAAGAAGGGGGCAGGCTTGATTTGGCCTGTGGTCATAGTTCTTTTTGACCCTGATAAGCAAGATTATTTCTGCATGTAGTTGTTATTTTCTCAGTTAGAAAAAGGGTTTCTAGTATGTTTTGCAAGAAGAGTTTGTGCTTGTTTCCTTGAAGTATTACTAATATGCAAACTATATAATTATTTTCCTATAGTCTTTGAAACTATTTTCAAATAATTTTAGTGGCAAGTACAATAGGTATCTGTCCCCGCTTCTCTTCAGTGATAACATACATAACCATCATAATTACTTTTCAGAGTCTCCTTAACGATGGCATGTAAACATTTAATTATGAATTTTCATTGTAATTATATATTTCTGACGAAGAATTACAATTGTAATCTTACCTTTTGTTTTTATTTCCAGATCAGCCAGCATTACTAATTTGTCCCTGGATCGATCTGGTTCTCCTATGGTACCTTCATATGAGACATCTGTCAGTCCGCAGGCTAACCGAACATATGTTAGGACAGAGACCACAGAGGATGAACGCAAAATTCTTCTGGTACCAGTCCAGCATCTGACCTATTGATAATTTTGAGCATAGAGAATGCTGATTATTTTTTTCCTTAAATGTATAAATGAAATAAACAACTAGGTGTGGTAGTGTATGCCTATAATCCTAGCATGGGGAAGGTAGAGGCAGGAACATTTCAAGTTTGAGGCCAGCCTGGGCTGAATAAAAGCTTGACTTTAAAAACAATCAGTATATCTATTAACCAGGGAAGTGATTAGTGTAACCTTTTACTTACCAGAATCACCTGAGAAATTAGTTAAGTATTCTTTATGCACTCATTGTATTCATATTTCTTTACCCACTTCGTTTAGCAGAATCAGAATTCATTTGCCCAATCTTGAGAGAACTGAACTTGAAGTTAGATTCTAGCTTGCTTAAACTTTGAGATATGTTTCTTGTATATGTGGAAACTTCAGAAGTTTAATTCTATATTTATATGAGATAGTAATTGTTTTTTCAGTTTGTATGTAAAATACTATGTTTTATCCTGAGTAACTCAAAGGAATGAAAAAAATAAGTCTTTTGTCCTTAAGTTTGTAATTCAAAAGGTAGAAACAAGATCAGTGGGAAGATCTTTAATAGTGAAAGAAGTAATATTTTAATATTTATAAAAATATAAAAATGTGTCAAATGTATAATGTAACTGTATGTCATAGAAACATTTATTTTTTATATCATTTTTATTTTATGTGTGATTGCTTGCGCGTAAGTGCACCCGTGTCGTGCAATGCATGTGGAGGTCAGAAGAGGGCTTCAATCCCCTGGAACTGGAGTTAGAACAATTGTTAGCTGCCATGTCGGTGCTGGGAATAGAACCTGGGCCCTCTGCAAGAGCAACTAGTGTTCTTAACTACTGAGCCATCTCTCCAGCCCCCGTCATAGAAAATTTACAAAAACAGAAAGATCATTTATAGTGAAGGATTTAGGAAAGGCTTCCACAGGGCTTGGACCGCAAATGCTGCAGTAGGTTTTGGTAGGGTAACAGGAATGTGCATCTTACTTAAAACTGTGACAAAGGCATAGGATTATGACTAAGCTAGGCATTTTCCATGGACAGAAGTAAAATTTATTGAGACAGAGTTTAAGTTGGAGTTTATGGTCAATGGGAATGTATGGTTATTTGGGTTTATCCAGTGGGAGGCAATGAATTCATTCTTTCATTACAAGTTTAGATTTGAACCTATAGTTGCTGAGCAGTGTTGAAAATTTTCTTGAGTAGAAAATAATTCACCAATAACTTTTCTTTAGAAAAATTCACTGGGCAGTTGAGTATAGCTGAGATTAGTTAGAGTCTGTGGCGTGGAGGCTGCTATAGGTGTCTTAGATTGGTGTGATTGATCATTGTCTCTGTCTACCTTGCCCCATCTCCAAAGATGTTTTGCATTAACTAAGAGACCAGTAATATGTGCCATAGACTGAAGAAAGGTACATTTGGGACTCTTTCTTTAGAAGAGAAAAACAAGCAATGCTTGGAATTAAATGAGTCAAATTCAGCTGTTTCTCATGTATTAAATAAATCACAGCTTCTGTGAAGAAATCCAAACTTAAAGTTTGTTTTATGATCTCAAAATCACAGGAAAGAATCTGATAAGGTATCTGTCATCCCTCTCAAGAGCATTTTCTTGCTTTTGTTGTAATTGCAGGACAGTGTTCAATTAAAGGATCTTTGGAAGAAAATCTGCCATCACAGCAGTGGAATGGAATTTCAGGATCATCGTTACTGGTTGAGAACACATCCCAACTGCATTGTAGGAAAGGAATTAGTGAATTGGCTAATCCGAAATGGACACATTGCTACAAGGTATTACAATTTTAAGAAAGAAAACTTGAAATTATTTACAAATTAATTTTCATTAATTAGAACATATATTTGAAGATACAAAGATTAACTTTCTTTGTGAGTTGGGGTGCACTTTTAGGGTTTTGATGGTTTTGGGGAGCTAGCTGATCAACTTTCTTCCCTTTTGGTGAGAATATTTGCAAGGAGCCAGGTGGGAGTATAACTTAGCATATTAATCACAAGGACTAGGGTCTCATTCAATGGATCAGTAGGTAAGGGCACTTGGATCCAGACCTGATGACCTTAGTTTGATCCCCAGAACTCATGGTATAAGAAGAGAACTAACTCCTATAAGTTGTCTTCTGTCAGTTTCCCCTGTCCTCAGCTGACTAACTAAATGTTAAAAGAAAAAGCTCAGGGACTAGGTAGATGACTCAGTCAGTAAATACTTGCCATACAGTCATGTAGTCAAGAGGAGCAGAGATTGGATACCTAGCATCCATGTAGAAAGCTGAAGGCAGCAGTATACTCCTGTAATCCCCGTGCTAGGGAGGCAGAGACCAAAGGGTTGCCTTGCTGGCCAGCCAGTCTAGGTATAATTGGTGAACTCCAAGTTTATTGAAAGATCCTGTCTCAAAAAATAAGGTAGCATACAGTTGAAGAAGACCCTTGATGTTGACCCCTGGCTTCCACATGTACTTACACATACATACCTGCACTCCCCTATCTCCCAAAACAAACATCTAGAAGCATGTAGTAATTCTTCAAAGAGATCCTAATAGCAAAGCAGGATAGAAGAATGTAGCTAGAGGCTAAGGTCAGAGGATTCTCATGCCACTGTTCTCTAATCCAGACATTACAGCTCATGTTTAGAATTGGATCCATAGTCCATCCTAGTCTGTCTCATAAGTCATAGGTTAAAAAAATGAATAATAGACAGGACCTGCTGCCTTTCAAGTTAACATCTATCTCTGATCTTTAGTTACTTGCTTAGACAAGCTTCTGCTCCTCTCATGGGGAAAAAAAAAACCAGAAAAAGTAAAGAAAGAAGGAGCTTTAAACAGGGAACTTCTGGGTACCAATTTTGGTTGTATCTGTAGTTTGTGGCTTCAGTCAAATTATTCAGTCTCTTTGAGACTTAGACCCCTTAGTTCCAATGTAGGGGAACTATTTTGTATTATAAATAAGCTGTGGTTATTGAAAAATGTTGGCTAAGTGCTCTATAAATTTTTGAATGACACACAATATAATGAATCTATTTCATTCATGTATTTCATATTTCTGTAATATTTGGTCGTGTCTTCTCATTAAGACTGTGAGTTCTTTGAGTCTAGGAGCCATGCCGCTCTCAACCCTTTTTATTCTCTTAAGGATGGGTGCGAATGCACTGTGTACTCAGTAAATGCTTACTGTAATTATCATTTTTTAGGACTACCTTTCAATAGGTTCTCTTTTATGATGGTACCTAGAAGAGCTTAATTAGTTTCAAGTATCTCTTGTTTTATCCTTTACTTATCCAAATACCATTTGACATTTCATCTTTGATTAGAAATTTAAAAAAATTGAAGCACTGTTTTATCATGTACCTATACAGTTACTTTCGACTGATATTTTAAAGCATTTCAATTTTCTTGGTCTTGATTTAGGGCACAGGCTATAGCAATTGGACAAGCAATGGTTGATGGACGTTGGCTGGATTGTGTTAGTCATCATGACCAGCTTTTCAGGGATGAGTATGCACTGTACAGACCACTACAGGTACTTTTGTAGTTTACTGCTGAGAAGAATGTGGAAATAAAAAGTATTTAAATCACCTACCTAAAAATTATTTTTAATAACACTTAAACTCAGTGCCAAGGAAGTGCTCCACCTCTGAGTTACAGCCCAACCCTAATGTTGTTTTTTCTTTTTCAAACATTTTTTATTTAGTAGAGTACAGTGATAAAAACCTGCTTTTAGGATCAGACACTATTAATTTGGCATGACTTTGCTTAAACTTGGCTTCTGGTATTTAATTATTTGTCATTTAATTTTAATACTTTTCAGATTTACTATCTCTGTTTTTTAGAATGGACAGGGAGTGAAATATATGTAATAAGATGATTGAAAAATTTAATGTTGGGGCTGGAGAGATGGCTCAGTGGTTAAGAGCAGTGACTGCTCTTGCAGAGGACCTGGGTTCGATTCCCAGAACCCACATAGCGGCTATGAACTGTCCTTAACTCTGCAATTCCAGGGGAATCCGAAGCCCTCTTCTGACCTCCTTGGCATTGCACGACATGAGTGCACTCACATACAGGCAGGCAGTACACTCGTATACATCAAATAAAAATAATATATAAAATATTTTAAAAATTTAATGTTAACTACTGAGATAGGTTTTGACTCTTTAGTATTATTAAACTGTGTATGCCTGCGGTGAAGAGATGCCACATTATGGCATTCCTTGAACAAAGACAGCCTGACCCCTTGGCATTGGTTATGACCAGGAGTGAGCCAAGTCTGTTTTGAAAGCTTGTTCTTTCTGATTTCTCTCAGAACTGTTCTTAAACAGAGGACTTGCTATGTCTTTTATTGAAAGTACATCCCATGTCTCATATGACTTGGGAAAGGAAAAGAGGAACTTATCAGATACTCTTTTTCTGACCCCTTCCTAACAGAACAGTACACAGAACCACAAACAGAAGTTGTCAGTCTAATCCCACTTGTTGTTGCAGCATAAATACTTTCAGTGCTTTCATACTTTCAGTGCTTTATATTTTCCTACACACAGACATTATTCTGGGTCAGGGGCAAGGAAAGGTCATGATGGATTAAAGCTGTGTTTAGCTTACAAGAGGAGCCCAAGGCCTAGTAAGGTTGCTTACATTATAAACAAGCTGAGATAAAATTAAATGATCTCAAATCATAAGATTAACTTCTGTTACAAGGTTAGGCAAGATTCTCATTTGTAACAGAAGGCATTTCCAGAAAAGCCATTCCCATATACACCAGTGGCAAATGCTAGAATGTGTTTTTTCTTTATTTAAAGACATAAGCTTCTTTAATTCTTTGTACACACACACACACACACACACACACACACACACACACGTATATTTTGAGAGTATAAAAGCTTGCGAACTAAAATTTGTGAACCCAAACTGGAAACTCAGTAGTTCAAAAACATAGATTCCATAGAGTAGTGTGGTGTAATTTGTTAAAATTGAACTTATTTTCTAAAATGTTCTAGAATTGCCAAAGTTAGGCTAAATTTTATGTTATCTTCACTCAGAACTGAAGGGTGAAACAAAACTAAAATCTTTATCAATGAAATGTTTTATTCATAAAATGCTACCTAGGCTTTGTAGTTAAAGAAAATTACAGTTTTAAGAGTAGATTATCACTTAGATTGTTTTGTAGTTCTTTTTTGTTCAGTTGTTTTTATAAAAGTTTATTGAGTTGTTAGATTTATAGAAATTTGGGGTCACAATTCTTTATAGTATGATACTGTCCTCATGGGGGGGGTCACTTGCTTGGTTTGCTTTGATCCTTTCAGAGTACAGAATTTTCTGAGACTCCTTCTCCGGACAGTGACTCGGTGAACTCTGTGGAAGGACACTCTGAGCCATCCTGGTTCAAAGACATAAAATTTGATGATAGCGACACAGAACAGATTGTTGAAGAAGGTGACGATAATTTGGCTAGTGAGTTTGACTTTCTAATGTTTTAGTTTTTATGAATCATTGCTGTGTTGGTATAGTAAAATGAAGGTCCTATTTGATTGTAACAATTCTACTTTATGATTTATGGTACTCACTTAATGTAAACATCTGATAGTAATCATTGTCTTAGATACAGTATTTTCGTAAGAAGCCAGCTTGTTAGACAACTGACATTTCTGGATTTTGCCATGGTCTCTAGTTTGCAGCAGCTTAAAAATAACTCTGAGCTAATATCACAGCAGACAGCTTTCTCACCTCTTTACTGTGGTATCAGACTTTCTCTGTGCAGAACCTCCAGTATATTTCCTCATTTAACAAATTTATTTTTAATTTAACATGCTCAAATTTTATTAAGTCTACAAAGAAGTACATGAAAATACTGTATCCATTTTGGTATTGCACATTGGGCTTGTGTATTAAAGAAACATTTTTTTTCCTTCCCTCCAATGCCCTGATGAAACCCATTTTTACTCCCCTCCTCTCCCTATATTTCTTTCCCCTTCCCAACACTAAAAGATTCTGCCAGTCCTAGCAAGCGCACCTCAGTCAGCAGTTTCCAGTCCACAGTGGACAGTGACTCAGCCGCTTCTATCAGCCTGAACGTGGAGCTGGACAACGTGAACTTCCATATCAAGAAGCCCTCCAAGTACCCACATGTGCCCCCTCACCCTGCTGACCAAAAAGGTAGGAGGTAGTCACCACCTGGAGTCCAGACAGGCTGGAGAGCTGGGCCCTAGGGTCTCATGTCAGCCTGTCCTTCTGGCTTCCTCTGTCCCATAAGGCTGAGGGGATTTGGAGTGGGTTTGTTCCACCCTTTCTCATTTTTCCCCAGTACTTCCTCCCAATACCTTTTTTGGTTCATTCCTTTTATGTCTTGTTTTCTCCCTCAGTACCATCATGCCCAGTTTAAAGATTATAGTCTTTAAAAGAACTATATTGGACTGCTCTTCCCATAATGTGCAACTTCCAAGGTGGTATTTCTTTGCATATATAACATGGACGTTCTGCTCTCTTCTTATCTTTCTTCATTTAACATTATAAAGCCTATCTGCTTCTGCTTCTCTGCAGTAACACTACTTTTAAGCCTGTTCAGATGCTTGAACTTACATTGGGAGGAAATTTTTCACACATGTCCATTATGTGTATTTTAAAAATTCTTCTCTCTCTGACAAAAAAAATGAATGTTTTTAGCTATCTTATTTTATGCTTTAGTTTACTGACTTAAAAATATGACCACATTAAGAAAACAAAAGCATTTGATGTAAAAGGAAAGATAAGCAGACATTTCTAACATGTAACCTAGCTGCATGGAAGAATTGTCTCTTTAAAAATGGAGGATGAGGGGCTAGAGAGATGGCTCAGCAGTTAAGAGCACTAGCTGCTCTTCCAGAGGGCCTGGGTTTGAATTCCAGCACCCACATGGCAGCTAACAACCATCTGTAACTCCAGTTCAGGGGATCTGACACCCTCTCTGTCCTCCATGGGAATTGTACAACTCAGGTGCACTTGCATACATGCATGCAATACATGCATACACATAAAATAAAAGTTAAAAAAAAAAAAGTGGAGGATGAAAGTGGGGTGTAGTGGGCATGCCTTTAATTCCAGCATCAAAAAACATGTTTTGTATCAAAAAACAAAACATAGCAAAATAAAAAATAAAACAAAAGAACCCTCTAAACCAACAAAAAAGGAAGATGAGGTTTATACTAGATGCAATTAAAAGCTTGCTTTTATTTATTTATTTATTTATTTATTTATTTATTTATTTATTTATTTATTTATTTATTTATTTAATTTTTTGAGACAAGGTCTCTCTGTGGCCCCAGCTGGCCTGCAACTTGCTATATAGACCAGGCTGTCCTTGATCTCACAGAAATCTTCCATAAAGTATAGCCCTAATGTGGCTATAATTACAGGTTTTCATTAAGACACGATAATTCCAAAAATCTTTATTATGGGTAAAGCACTTAATTCCATGGTTTTAGCACGAGTTTGAAATTTAAACATTTAACTCTCTAAAGATGACTTGTCTCTTCATTTCTGAAATGCTTGCCGAATTCTTTGCTGTTTTCTATTTTGAACCTAAAGGTAGCATAAATGAGAATATTTAGAATTTAAAGACCTATTTTAAAATAGTTTGAAGCATACATTTCCTTTTTTTTTTAAAAAAGAAACCTTTTTAAAAAAGTTTTTTTATTAAAAAAAATATTATTTTTACTTTATGTGTATGTGTGTATTGTCTGCATGTGGGTAAGTATACCTGTGTCATGCATGTCAGATCCCCTGGAACTGGAGTTACAGACAGTTGTCATCTGCCATGTGGGTGCTGGGATTCAAACCTGGGTCTTCTGCAAAAACAGTCAGTGTTCTTAACCACTGAGCTATCTCTCCAGCCCATCATACATTTTCTTAATAAATTTCTCATAATTGTCAGTATCATCAGTTATCAGGATGTATAAATGTGAATTGAGTCATAATAATAAAGAAGGTATGAGACAGGAGATTTGAATGGCAGTGAACATGAAGTACAGTGATGGGAATCCTCAGTGCAGAACTTGGACAAGTGATGGAGAGCATTTGATGAATATGAAAGAGCAGCAGGAGATGTGACACTTGTGAGATTCTGCTAGACTGCAGTATATGGGGGTAGTATTTTTTAAGGATAGATGTGTGTCGGTAGTAGGATATGTCGTGACATACATGTTGGCAGTTTGATCTTGCTGAAATCAGAGTGTAAAGTACACTTGCCACTTGCTGATTGCTTCACCTGTTGGAATGTTAAGGATGTTTGGGAAAAGTTTGAAGAAGGAGGCCTGTCATATAATTCACAGTGGCAAAAGATGTTATCCCTGGGACCCACAAAGTGAAAGGTGAGAACCAACTCCTGCAACTTGTCCTCTGACCTCCACACCATGGCATGCTCACACACATACACAAATAAATAAGTAAATTATAAATAAATAAAATATAAATAAATACATGAATAAGATATATATATATATAAATTATAAATAAATAAAACAATTACAAAAGCACAGGCTGTGGAGTCTGGATAAGCTTTTAAAGAATTTGTTTTGGCTGGGTGTGGTGTTGCATACCTTTAATCCCAGAACTCTGGAGGCAGAGGCAGGTGGATCTCTGTGAGATTGAGGCCAGCCCAGTCTACATTGAGAGTCTTAGGCCAGCTAGGGTTGCATGGAGACAGTGTCTCCAAAACAAAGCTAACAGACAAATGACAACAACAGAAAACCTCACAAAATCATAAAAGAATTTGTAGTTTGTTTTAATGATTGTATAAAATATGGAAATGGTCATTAGCAATTTGAATTTGATACCATCAAGGAGATGCTCTTAAGTTATTTAGGGTTTTGTTTATCTCTAGTCAATATTGTTAACACTTATTAGTGAAAATTATTTATATAGAATAATAGATTTCATTGTAACTTCTCATGTATTCATAAATCATATTTGTATATATTTATATGGAATAACATGAGTCTCTGACATGTTTATAAAGAAATGATGCAGGGGCTGGAGAGATGGCTCAGTGGTTAAGAACACTGACTGCTCTTGCAGAGGACCCAGTTTCAAATCCCAGCACCCACATGGCAGCTAACAACCATCCATTCTCCAGTTCCAGGGGATCTGATGCCATCTTCTAACTTTTGTGGGCACTGCACAACATGGGTGCACTCACATCCATGCAGGCAATACAGTCATACACATAAAATAAAAATAATTAAAAAAAATGATTCAGCCAAATTAGTAAACTTGTCTGTCACCTCATTACCATTTTTTGATGGCAAAAAACCTTTAAAATTTACTTTCTTAGTAATTTTGAAATGTCTACTGCTACACACTACTAACTACAGTCATCATTCTGTAGAAGAAATCTCAGTTCCCTGTATCTAACTGAAACTTCTACCCTAGCCCAGCACTTCCCCAGTTTCTCTAGTCCCTGGCTTCTGGCACCCACTATTCTGCCTGCTGTAAGTGAGCCTTTTTGTGTAAAAGTATACAAAGCATAGTGTATTGAGTGAATGTAAGAGTTCAGCAATGCCATTATTATTACTGGCATATGATTGTGTAGCTTGTTTTAATAATTATACAAAATATCAAAAGAATCATTATCAATTTGATGTCAGCAGGAATAGGATACTTCTAAGTTACACCATAGTGCTTTTTGTGTCTGTAAACAATCTGTTCAATACTCTGTGTGTGTGTGTGTGTGTGTGTGTGTGTGTGTGTGTGTGCTTCTGTGTCTGTTTGTGTTTGGTATGTGTGTATATGTTTCTGTATTTGCATGTGTATGTATGTGCATGAGGAGGCTAGAGGTCAACATCAGGTGTCTTCCTCAATCTTGCTCTTCACCTTATTTTAAAATATCGATCATATCATGGAGGGTGATGTGATCAACCCCTTTGTAGGTCTATACTTTTTGAATTTTTTAAATCTACATGTCTTTAAAACGTCGAAGGAATGGCTGCATATTAAATAGTAGAATTAGAATTTAAAAATCTTTTTAAATTAAGCAGTGGACTGACACTAATGAAATTTGATATAGTTAAACATAAACAGTGCAATTAGACATAGCATGTTTACTGTGAATACTTTGGAGAAAGCCATTTTAGTAATTTATGTGATAAGGACCCAGTCTTATGCACTGTGAATTAAATGCCAGGATTGGTTTATTTAGTAAATGATCATGAGGGAAAAAAAGACCTAAGTTTTAATTATCTGAAGATGCATTAGTGTAAGTAAAAGTTCCCCTTCCCTCTGTTCTAATGAAATGAGTTTCATTAGTAACAATATAATAGCTGGTGTGTTATGGTCCAGTTTTAAGTTTTGTCATCAGTTGTGATTTATTAATATAACTGGTTTGGTAGGATCTTAGGATAGTTGAAAGCTTTACTATATTAAGACTAAGGGGAGTTGGATTATTTAAAGTAGAGAAAGGAAGGCTTAATGTTGTTGCCCTTATGGCATCTGAGGAGTACCTGAGAGAGTTGGAGAGATGGCTCAGCAGTTAAGAGCATTGGCCTCTCTTTCAGAGAACTTGGATTTGGTTCTCAGCACCTTCATGTAGGTTAACAGTGGTCTGTAACTCCAGTTCCAGGGGCTCTGACACCCTCTTCTGGCCTTCATGGGCTTTGCATTCACAGGTGTACTTATATACATGCAGGTAAAACACTCATACACATAAAATAAAAATGAATAAATTAAAGAATATCTGAAGGAAATATTAATTATATGTTTAAGAACTGAGTTTGATAGTTAGGAATTGCCATTGCTTTGGAGCTGTTTAGGTTGTATTTGAATGTCCACCTGTCAGGGTAGATGCCTGTATCTAGTGAAAGGTTAGTTTGGTGGACTTAGTGCCTTATAAATCTAGATGTAGAATTTAAAAATTATGATGAGAGTGATCCTTTAACTTACTCAGTGGGAACATTATAGAGGAAGTCCCACTGTTAGAAAGCATTATTACTGGATTGATCTAGTTGACCATTTGCAACCTGATAGTCTGTAATTTCAGGAATTTAAATCTCCTTTAATACTTGTATTTGCCTTCATAGTTCCCTCTTAACTAACTTTTGGCGTAGTAACAAGAATTATTTTTTTTCTGTTTGTCTTATGAAGTTGAAATACGATAAAATGTTTTGCTGTTGGTAGTTAAGATGACCACTGACTACTGATAAATAAAGCTGGCAGAGTTATGTGAAAGAATAGAATTGTAACTAGAACAGGAATATCTGGCTTTTATCTTTCCATTGAAATGAAAGGCAGTCCTTATTAAATCTTTTCTTATGGATTGCCCTCTATTTTTATGGCTGATGAAACTTAGATTATAAAATTGGTCTTGGAGATTTGTATAATTTTAAAACGTTTTATTTTGTATGGCAAATGGGATTCTGAACCACTCTTAGAAAGTTAACAACTAGAACCTTAAGATGCAAGTGAAAATCAGGACTTCTTTAAGCCCTTTGAGCTAATTTCCCATGTATAGAAAACATGGAATTGAAGAGCACTTGAAACACCTTGAAGAAACACTGGATTAAATGTAGAATGTGTGCCATTGGATAGGACATTTGGCCTGGTTCTCTAAAAATTATTATCATGAAAAGAAAAAAAGTAGATATGTTGTAGATGAAAAGAGAATGAAGAGGCATAGTAAACAAATTCCATTTATGAACTTGATGGGCTCTAATTTTGAGGACTATGTGTATTAAAGGCATTGTGCAAACAGTTGAGTAAATTTCAACATGGATCAGTTTTGTGTTAAGATGTTTCTTTTTTGAAGTATATAAATAGTATAGTGGCTATAGAGAAGAATTTATATTATTTTTGAGACAGGGTCTCACTATGTAGCCCTGGTTCGCCTGGAATGCCCTATGTAGACCAGGTTGACTTTGAACTCACAGAGATCAGCCTGCCTCTGCCTTCTGAGAATTAAGACTAAAGGCATGTGCCACCATCCTGGCCTAAAAAGTTTTGGTGTTCCCACACTGGAGTTGAACCTGGGCTGCCTGCGTGACACAAACCAGGAATCCTAACCACTAGACGATGTAGGAAGAATGCTCATATTTTAAAAAGATGCATGCAGATGTGCTAGTTGCAAATACTGTGTATAACTTTCAGTGGCCAGGGTAGCTTTAAAAACATATGTGTATGTAGAGAGAAAGCAGATAAAAGTCTCCAATGATTGTTGTATTTAGATGGACAGTATACAGAATTTTTGTGTGTTAGAAATTGTTTTCATAAAAAAATGTTAGGAGAACCCATCATTTCTGGAATCTGATACTTAAGTTTTAATATGAGAAGTAAAACTTTTAAAGAACAATACATTAGTTCCAACTAACAGGATTTAGCATTACTCATTTCTTCATTTCTGTGAGGGAAGTAGAGAAACAAATTATATCTATTATCTTGTATATTATATACCTGATTGTATTGTATGGTACACTTTTGTTTTTTTGGTCTTTTTGAGGCAGGGTCTCCCTGTAGCCCTAGCTGGCCTGGAACTTGCTGTGTAGACTATGCTGGCCTCGAACTCACAGAGATCCACCTGCCTCTGCCTCCCAAGTGCTGAGATTAAAGGCATGTGCCACCATGCCTGGCATATGATGCACTTTGATCTTCTAAATAAAACGTTTTCTCTGCCTTCTGACTAGAAGGATGAGCATATTGGCTGTAAGTGAACTTGGGAAAAATTTTGTGGAGACTCAACTCTAAAGTAGTTAAAATGCATTGTCATTTAATTTGCATAGAAATTTGAGCTGTTTAGTTACCAACGTAGAGGAAAATTAAAGGGGAAACAGAGTAAGTTTCATTTCTAAGAAAAATATTTAATGTTTTAAAAGCATTCAGAGTGTATTCATCAGTTACCTTCTGGCAAAAATTTGACAGTGTTGAGCTAGAATTTTTGAAAAACAAACTGATTCAAAACTAACAACAAAAATTCCTGATGAGTTTTATCTTTATTCTCTGCCGTTGTTACTGCCATATGAATTCATTTTGTTGCATATATTCTGAGGTTAAAAACGGTATATTGTTTTCTCAGGTGGCTTTTCTATGAAGTATCTTGTATATAGATTAATTATTTGTTAAATAATGCAGTAATACATTAGAAAAGTAATGTAATATTTTAGGCTTGTCATGCAGATTATTAAAGATCTCGACTTATAGATTGGTTCAGTTTTGGTAACTGAACTTCTACCATTTGGAGAAAAATTATCTGAGATTTGAACCAAGGCAGATTGTTCAGTGGTTCTGTTATCAAATTAAGTCTATAGAAAATAGTTTAGTGTGCAAATGTACATTAGAACCATTTTAGTTAAAATGTTTTTTTGAGTTTGCCGGGCAGTGAAGAGTTCCATGTAAGTAATACCCTGTTGTGTGTGGGTGTATTTGCTGTATAATTATGCTGGCATGTTGTAGTCATACATCTTTCCTTCCTCTTCTCTGTTCTCTTCCTGGTATGCAGAGTACTTGATTTCTGACACTGGAGGACAACAGCTCTCAATCAGTGATGCCTTCATCAAAGGTAATTTTACAAAGAGCTGTATTTAGGTTGATGTTTTTTTGTTTCATGGTAGATGAAGGCATACTTAGGGTTTAGCACATTGATTGGCACAAAGAAAATGCTAACGTATATTTGATTCTTTTAGTATCAGAGGAGCATGGTTTTAAATATGTATTAATGTTGAGACACAATATAAAGTTGGACTCAATTTGAGAGATCTTTGATCTAAAAAGTAATTGAAAATTTTAAGTAGAATTTGATTATTATTCTTTTAAAAGCATTATATAATACTAAATACTGATACTAGTCTAGTTACTCTATGACATTCCACAGTTTAGTTTCCAAGAAAAGGGGAAAAGACCCTTCTTGGGGTCTTCTTAGCTCCTCAAGTTTTAGAGAAAGAGAGAAGGCAGGGAAGTTGAAACAAGGGAGACAGCTTGTAGCTGGTCTGATTTGACAGTACTTCTAAATTTACCTTCAAACATCTGGTTCAACTAGAAATTTATGGACTGATTGTTCATGTAATTAAAAATGCCAGTCTTGCTGGTCTTGGTGGCATCTGCCTTTAATTCCAGAACTTGGGAGGTAGAGGGAGGGAGATCTCTGTGAGTTCCAGGTTAGCATGGTCTACATAGTGAGTTCCAGGCCAAACAGGGCTACATAGTGAGACCCTGTCTCCGAAAAAAAAAAAAAAAAAAAAGTGCCAGTTTTTTGCTTGTCTACCATGACACATCTATTTTATTGTGATGTCTTGCTGGACTGTTCAGTGGAAAATTTTCGTTTGTTTGGTTTGCTTTAAAAGAGAAAGCATTAGGGGCTGGGGAGACGGCTCAACAGTTAAGAGCACTGACTGCTCTTGCAGAGGGCCTGGGTTCAATTCCCAGCACCCACATGGCAGTTAACAGCTGTCTGTAACTCCAGTTCTAGGGGACCTGATGGCATCTTCTGCCTGCGGACATTGTATAACACAGGTGCACGTACATACAGGCAGGCAATACACTCGTACACATAAAAATTAAGAAAAAGAGAGCCGGGCGTGGTGGCGCGTGCCTTTAATCCCAGCACTCGGGAGGCAGAGGCAGGCCTGGTCTACATAGTGAGTTCCAGGCCAGCTGGGGCTACAGGGAGACCCTGTCTCAAAAAGACCAAAAAGAAAAAAAAAATTAAGAAAAAGAGAAAGCATTAGAATTTTTGTAAGCATATCCCATCTCTTTTCTTTATTCTGTCCTATTCAATAATTTAGTGAGCATGTGTTTTACAAAACATTATTTAATTTTGTCATTCATTTCCACCCTCTTTAAGAATTTAAATTTAAATATTTAAAGATTTTTCAAAATTTTGTGAAAATTTTGTGAATATTGCTTTTTATTATGCTGTAATATTTCTTTACTTTTTTTTTGTCTTATTTTGTTTTAAAGCCAATATTGTGCCATTGAAAAATAAGTACAGTGAAGGATTGTATGAATTGTCCCCTGGGGCTTGGGATACCTGAGCAGAGCTTCTGCTCTGAAAGTTCAGTACCCACGCTATCCTACAATATTTTGTCACCATTCAGATTTCAGTTGAATGTGGTTTATAGTTATGATTATATGGAAAATTAGCATTCATTTATTAATGCTCCAAAACAAGTGGAGTTCAGAAACACTGTTCTGTTTACCTTTCAGTAGCCATGTTTATATTATGGCTTGAGAGTTATTGTTACTTAGGTCAGGTTGCTTTTCATAGTTCTGCTCAGATTTCGTCTGATGCCAGTTGTTTCTGTTTTTGTTTTTGTTTTTTTTCCTCTTCATGCTGGGTCTTGCACATACTAGGGAAGTATACTCTAAACTCTTGCTTCTGTAGTTTTAGTGTATTTATGTATGTATAGATGTATATAGTATGATTACATATTTTATTATGTATTTCAGTTATGGATTTTGTATTGGTTTACAAGTATTTGCCATTTTATAGCAATAATTTGTGTTGGCCGAACTGAGAATTTTTAGTTTCTAAGTGTATGAATTTATGGCATAAAATGTGACAATGAAGTAATAACTTCTTCTTTTATAATTAGAGTCCTTATTTAATCGTCGAGTAGAGGAAAAGTCCAAAGAACTGCCTTTCACCCCTTTGGGCTGGCATCATAACAACCTGGAGCTCCTGCGGGAGGAGAATGGGGAGAAGCAGGCAATGGAGAGGTTGCTGTAAGGCACCAAGATTTTTATTTTTCTCTTCCTTTTTTTAAAAATAATTTTTAATGACTTGGGCATATGCTTAATTCCTTTCTTATAAAGTAAAAAATACTAAAAAAAATGTATTCTGACTTCTGATGAAATTATCTTATAAAACTGAGTCCCAAACTGCTTGTCTGTCTTCATTTTATGTATTAAAATTTCATTTCAGCCATTTAAAGGAGATTTCTTAATTTTAAGTATTCACAGATTTCATTTATTGAATAAAATCATTAAGAATAAAATTGACACAGAAAATCATATCTGTTACACCACAATTGGAATACATATTTCTTTGTAGACTGCTTCTTGTATCTTTAGTGCTAATTGTGCAAACTTGTTTTTGTAACATTTTGTAGTTCAGCTAATCATAATCACATGATGGCACTACTCCAGCAGTTGCTTCATGGTGACTCATTGTCACCATCTTGGAGGGACATCATTGTGTCACTGGTCTGCCAGGTTGTTCAGACAGTCCGACCTGATGTCAAGCACCAGGATGATGACATGGATATTCGTCAGTTTGTTCACATAAAGAAGGTGAGTGCTGCTAATGCTTTGCTAATGCAAACTGAACTGATGAGGCAGGCCTATTAGTAATTTGACTCTTAATGGTAATCTGAAAGGAACTATTACCCTGAAGTTGTCTGCTCTGTTAGCAATGCAATTAGAGGTTACGCTAGCCACTCATAGGAAGTGAGAGGTGGATGGAAGAAGTGAGTGTATGGTGAGAACCCAAATAAATATAGTTTCTTCCTTTCTTAGTGTTTCTTTTTGACAATTCATTTATGAGAGAGCCTGCTCTCAGGTTACTATCACTGTTCTGAGCAAAGGCAGTATGGAATTGCTTTAAGTAGACAGTAGTGGAGACCTTAATGTATTTTTCAACTGTAATATTGAACTTATAAAAATAGTGCCACAGACACCAGCCTGTTTAGTTAATATGTATTTTAGAGTAACAGATGTGACACTAGAGAGTACTGAGGCCATTAATTCATTGGTTGAAATGAAGAACCATATTCTGGAACTTTCTGTCCTAATTTGATTATATTATGGTTCAAAGATGTAAAAACATAATGATGTCCATCAGATTGGAGTCTAAGCATTTATTACTGATTTTTATTGTTTTCTTAGATCCCAGGTGGAAAGAAGTTCGATTCTGTGGTTGTTAATGGCTTTGTTTGTACCAAGAACATTGCACATAAAAAGGTAACGCAATTCAGTTCAACAGGGAAATTCAAGAAACTGTGGCTTTGTGCTCGGCTTATAAGTTGGGATACCTTCAATCATGGAAGAAATGGAGAAGACGTTGAGGCATACCTAGTCATGTCTTCCATAGGGGTGAAAGTTTTGAGGTTCAGGAAAGGTCTCTCAGAGCTGATGATGAGTTGAATTTGAAAAACGGGAATTTGCCAGACAGGAAAGAAGAGGGGAAGGTCAGGCTTCCCAACTGACAGAATGCTAGGATAGTGCTATCATGGCTCCCCAGATCCTATCTTGGAGGCAGAGTTTCTTTGAAACATTGGAGTCCTTCAGATGGTTTAGTTTTCTAAAATTGGTCTTTCTACAGAACTGGCACTATTACTCTCTTAGGTGTCTTACCTATTGTACCTTCATCTTCAGCTGTGAGGCCTCTTTCTAGCACTAACACAAAAATAATGAGGTTAGAAAACCTTGAGTATTAGGGAATCTGAACTTCTGAGGTATAAATTGGAAATGGAAGATTTACCTGGAGGAAGCAGGGAAGGGCTTTGTATTCTGCCGGTGATTTTGAACTTCGGAGGGCTTCTAATTCTTAAAGTGTAGTGCATATCAAGATTTCCTCTGGACCTTGTTAAATATATGGTTCTCTAAGCTTTCCTAGATAGTCTGATTCATTAGATTTAGAGGAGTTGGAGAAGGTAGGTGGGGGAGGAGAAGGGTGGTAATGCATCTAAAATAGGCACTACAGCTTTTAGTGTCATTTGTTGGTCTTTGCATTTTGAGAGACCATTCACCTGTAGTAGTATTCTCAGACCTTCATCATCATCAAGGAAACTGCTTAAAACTAGGGCTACCCTGTTCTCATCACTGACGATGCTGATTTTGTTTCAGCAAAAGCCAAGATGAATGTCTAGTCCAAGCAACTAGATGGATGAACTGTAATCCTGTTTTCACTCTTTTCTAAGTGTAGACTAATACACTTATTTCTTAGTTGCAGTGGGCTATTCCAGTATCTCACAGGGGTGCTGAAATCTTGAAATGCTAAAGTTCCTTATATAAAAATAGCATAGTGTTTGCATACTCCACTGTAGACTTTAAAGCATCTCTAAATGACTAATAATAACTATTACAATGTAAATGTTATATAAATAGTTGTTATACTCTATTGTTTAGGTATTTGTAGATGTTGAGGGCTGACTGTAAGACATTAAGCCTTCAGAAAATTGCTAATGACCACTTAAAAATGAAAGTATGTTGGTGTTCAATATTGTTTCATAGACATGGTCCACAATCACTTACTAAAACAATACTTTACTCTTTTAAGGTAGTGTACCAAACCAAATTAAGTGATACATATTGAAATAAGAGTAAATGTGTTATATCTTTTCAGGAGTTGAAGAAAATCGTATGTAGGAGAGGTAGAAATATATCCATGAATTATTGGTTTGCCTCACTTATTTTATTTAGAGGTAGTATTTAATTTAAGAGCCCTAAGTGTATTTCTGTAGTTAGTCCTTATTTTCTGAGCTGTTTGCTAGTGTGGGTTTTGTGAGTTTGGCCAGCCTGAAACCTTGGTAGCAGTACTTAGGCCGTTTTGCCTGTGGCTGTGGCAGCATGGTTGGGGTGTTTTGCTTGAGTCTCTGCTTTTGGAAGTACTTTAATTTTTTTTCTTTTAAAAAATTTAATTTTTTTATTTTTGAGAATTTCATATATGAGTATTGTCTTTGCATTATTTCCATCCTTCCAAGACCCCCCTAACTCCTCCCATGTCCCCCCACTTCTCTCAATTTCTTGTTCTCTTCTTTATTTTATATATGTACATATATATATATGCATGTGTTTAAAAATATGTACACACACATATATAAAATTCCCCCTCACTTCCCTCTCAATTTCTTCTTCTCTAATTATTATATATGCATATATAAAATTAGTGGTTGCTTGTGTGTACCTGTGTTTAGGGCTATTCATTTGGGATTAGATAACCTCTCAGAGAACTAGTCCCTGGAAAAACGGATTTTCCTTTCCTTAGCATCCGCTGATTGCCTGTAGTTCTTCATCCTGAGGTGAGACCCCATGACATTTCTTCCATCTTTCTTGGCATGTCAGCTGGTTTTATAATTATGCAGATCTTTTTAGACTACCATACTAGAGCGATTTCATTGGTGCGACTTCCTTTCATGACTAGAATGCATTAACTAGGAGCAGGTGTCTTGTCCCTCTGGCTCTTAGATTCTTTCTGCCCCCTCTTCTGTGGTGTTCCCTGAGCCTTAGGTGTAATGTTTGCATTGTAGATGTGTTGCTTAGGGCTGGGCACCTCACAGTCACTTATTCTCTGCATCTGACCAGTTGTGGAACTTTGTAATAGTCTCAAGCAGTTGCAAAAAGAGCTTCTTTGATGAGTGGTGAGAGGTACACTTGTTTGTAAATGCAAGGATACATATTTAGAATACAGTAAGAAATTATGTTGGTCTAGGGAAGTGACAGAAGTAGTCTGTGACCTCTCCAGCCATGTGTACTTGACTATGTTTACATTGCCATGCATGATTTCCCTCCTAGTAAGTCCAATTAGATAGCTATTTATTACATCCAAAATAAAAGTGCCACTGTACCAGTAGAGATAGTTTGCTGGACTGGTTATTGTGGTTTGTAGACTTCATAGATGTGTGGGATCATTGATTGGTTTTTTCCCTTAGCAGCTTGCATAGTGTCTTCTGAAACTATGAGAGCTGGTCTTCAGGGAGGAGCTTCCAGGTCAGTTCCAGCTCAATTGCTCCAAGTCCAGTGTCTGGACTATGTTGTGTCATCAGAAATAGGGTCTTCAAGTTCTGGGAGACAATCAAAGACTGTGGCAATAGTGTGTATTATTTTGGGAGTCTCTTGGACTACCCCACCAACAACTCTGAGAGAGGTTTCCCATGCCTAGTACTGTGATTTTGTTTTATAGCTTTCAGCTGTACACATGCACTCGCATTTATATGTGTGTTTTTCAGTAGGTTTATTAAATACTACATTTCCCCTTGGTTTTTCACACCACTTAAACATCGTCTCTCTTTCCTCTTTGCCCCTGTATGGTCCTTGCTTCCCCCATACCCCCTCCACATTTTCCGCATTTCACCCGTTATAAAGTTATCTAATTCAACTTGCTAACTTCATATTGTTGGGAAATTTATTTCAATAGACATATGTTCGAGTGACATTAACATTTTTTTCTTTTATACCCCTTTTGACATTTAGAAAGACTGAAATATAGCTTCAAGTTGCTGATCTGGAGTTTGTGCGATAGTCTGCCCATAAGACCCATCTCTACCTAGGGGTCTTACAATATTAGAAATTAAAAAATGAAATTACAAAATTAGAAATTACAAAAATGTAATGAAGAGTATAGGGGAATATATTAAACTAGTATTAAGAAAAAGTCATTTTTTGAAGAATTTGATTTGAAAAAATTTAAGAGAAAACCCAAAAGAACTAGATTGTGATAATACTAATATACTAAAATACTTCGTTAGTAGGAATTACGAGCAATATGAATTTAAAATTATGATTAAAAGTCTGTGAAGTATATACCTTTAGCAAATTATTGTTTCTTTTTTTTTTTTTGCAGATGAATTCTTGTATTAAAAACCCCAAAATCCTTCTGTTGAAGTGTTCCATTGAGTATCTCTATAGAGAAGAAACTAAGTTTACTTGCATTGATCCTATTGTGCTTCAGGTAAGAACTTAAAGAATAAAGTGATGAGATGTTTATGTGTTGTGCTACTTTCCACTTTTTTTTTTTTTTTTTTTTTTTTTTTTTTGAGACAGGGTCTTCCTGTAGCCCCAGCTGGCCTGGAACGCTATGTAGACCGGTTTGGTCTTAGTTTCACAGAGATCTGCCTGCCTCTGCCCCCTGAGTGGAGTACTGGGGTTAAAAGTGTGTGCCACCACACCTGGCCCCACTTAATTTTAAAAATTTGTTATGTTTTAAAAATTAATTATAAAGGACACCTTCATATGTTACACTTTGAGAAGTAGCTTAACCAAAACCTATCACTCATTATTTTTAAAGTTCTAAAATGTTAAAGGGAACATATGACTGGGACTATATGGAAGAAAAAATGAAAATTCAAGTTTTAGTTTATTTCTCTTCCCTACTTTGTTGATTTACTGGGAAAATTTCTCTAACTTCTTAGGTCTGTAATTGAATCTCCTGTTTGAAATACAGGCTTCCACTAAATTCCATTTCTAAAGAACAAGTTAGTTTGTATCTAGTTGGCAAAGAGAAATAACCCTACATGGGGTTTGTTTGGGTTTCCTGTAGATACCCTTCACAGTGTCCTTTCCTGAAAAACTGAAATCAGGCCAGGATACCCTCAGCTTGTGACCAGCTCAAGAGCACTTTCACTGTCCTCTTGAGTCTTTATTGAAAGGTCAGCATTTGAAATTCACACAAAGTTTACATATTTAGATAAGTGCTCAAGCAGAGTGCTATTGTCCTTAAGGGACAAGGCAGGTGAGGGGTTTCCTTCAGTTTTTCCTAAGCAAAGAGTTTAAAATAGGTGCAGTAAGGCTGTAATTCTCATCTGGGAAAGAAAATAACCTCACTTCATCTGCTACTCAGGCACTAGTTCTTTCAATTTTATATTGAGAAATGCTTACAGGGCCCTCTTTCCAGGAAGGTACAATCCCAGCCTAGGCTTGCTCCTGGGAAATGATCTGCCCAGAGCTTGATCACCACTTGTACTGTTGTAGTTTTTTGTTCATTTGAAATTTTCTACAAGGCAGTCATCAGCCATGCTAAACCGTCTACCTGGACTATCTAGGTTCTTTGTTAAGATACCAGTTATTAATTTTGTTAGTGCTGTGGATTTGAAGTTGCATAAATTTTGTGGGGTTTTTTCCCCATAGCCCTCTTCTATAAATGTTGTTAATTTTAGTTTGTGGTCATTCAAAATGAGAGATTTTTAGGACTGTAAATACTATTTTACAAGGAAACACTCATTTCCAGAAATATTTAGACAACTATCACTTGAACATTCATAGAAGTCACAGTTTTCCAAGATTGGTAGGAACAGCCACTTTTATATTGAATTTCATAGATACTAGCAAGCAGAACTCAATTGTGGTCTAAGGCAAGTGCTTTTTGAAACTCTGCATTACTTACAGAGTCTCTTTTCTGGAGCTCTTGTTTTTGGGATTTAGCTATTATCAGTAAAAATGAAAGGCCTTGATTAGATTTATGCTAGCCTTTCCAATTATGATGTAGTGTGACTTTTCAGTGTAGAACTTAGGAGGAATGAGGGGAGGCCCAATTTGTGTTTATGGAATTCAAGATACTTTGATGCTGGGGTTTTTGTTTTTTTCTTTAGCTTTGGTGCTGCCCTTTCATTTGCTACTCAGACTCAGCACTGATCTGTATCCTTCACCCTTGTGCTTGGGGTTTGTTGATTTCAGAGATGACATCAGCAGAATTTCATAGGATTATGTCACAGCCATATTGATTATAAGATGCATCCTGGTTTTATAGTTGTTAAAACATGTAAAATTTATGAAAAAGTTATACTTTACTCACAGTTATTATTTCATTTTTGGAATCTGGTTGACAAACTTGTTTTTTCAGATGAGAGAATTATGCTCTGGGCACATCTGCAGTAACCAACATGGTTTAATCCTGATAACATAAAGCATTTGTTCAGTAATGATTTCATACAGTTTTGTACCTTTACCTTCAGTTCTGTTAAACTTTTTAATTTGTATTGGTAGGAGATTTCAGCTGATTTGATTTTTTTCCCCTCCCTTTTTTCCTCCATCTGTCTGCCTCTTTCTGCCTCCTCCAATAGATAAGAATCAGATAAAGAAGCAAAAGTAGTCAGAAGAAGGAGGGGAAGCAGGGGGCAGGATATAATTTATGCTGTGACTTCTGGACTAGGTCTGTTGGTCTACAGTCCTTTAGGCTATGCTTTTGACCTATCTTTTGATACACTTTCCTGGATGAGCCGGGACTAGGCCTGCTTTAAAAAAAAATTATTGAATTTTTGTGTATTTCATACAGAAAATCATCTTTATGCCCCTTTGGCACTAGCCCATACGCTCCCCCCTCCCCCCGCTTCCCCACTGGAATTCATATCTTCTGTCATTTGTGTTAAGGCCTATTATATAAAGTTAGTGTCCCTAGGTGTCTCTCAGTGCAAGTTCATCCACTGGGGGCTGGTCAGTCTGTCTAGAGTCCCTCCCTTTAAGAAGATCCGCTCATTCTTACCCAGCAGTAATCAACTGTCAATAATTCTTTGACTAAGATTAGGACTTGCTGTTCATTTCCACAGTTCTGTGCCTGATTTTTTTGTCTGCATAAGTTTGCATGGGTCTTGTGCATGCTGACACCATTGCTGTGGGTTTGTATGTGAAGAATCCCAGGAGCCTTAGGAATATTTCTGTATGGTCATACACCTCCTCCCTGGTGGCTCCTACAATCTTTCCGCCCTCTCTTCTGCAGTGACCTCTGAGCCCTGAGTGGTGGATTTTAATATAGGACTCCTGACTCCTGTCCAAGTACCCACGCTCTGCAAACTCTTGTTATCTGCATTTTGGCCATTTATGATCTTTTGCTTTCCTGGTTCTCTGTTGCATGAGGGATCTTAATTGATGAGAATTGAAAGATGCATCAGTGTTCTCTTCATCCCTTGTTCTATGTTCCATGAGCCTTCAGTGCAGAGGTTGCATCCTAGATTTGCCACTTAGGCTTGGGCAATTCACAGACAATCTGTGTGTGTGACCAGTTGTGGAACTCTGTAACCATCTCTGTCTCTTGAAAAAGAAGTTTCTTTGATGGTGACTGGGATACTTTTCTATAGATTTAAAGATCCATATAACATTTTTCTAGGGATGTGACAGCCTTAGAGTTTTCTGTAAGATCTGTGACCTCTCCAGCTATGTGTATTTGGCTAGATTTATAGTACCACACACGAGTTTCCTCCCATTGAGTGGGTTTTAAGTCCAATTAGGTAACTGTTGATTACTCCCAAGATAAAAGTGCCACTACTGTATCAGTGTCCTTTGCTGTGCTGGTCATTGATGTGGTTTTTAGGCCTTGAAGCTGGGATTGGACTGTCGCTTGATGTTCTTCCTTAGCAGCTTGCATAGTGTTCTCCAAAGCTACGAGAGCCAGCCTTCAGGGGAGGTGGCTTCCAGGTCAGTCCTAGCTCTGTTGCTTCAGATCCTGTGTCCAACGTATGTCCTGTCTTCAGCAATAGGGTCTTACCATCAAGTTCTTAGAGGTAGTCAAGGGCTGTGGCAATAGCCTGTGTAATTTTGGGAGTCTCTTGGACTACTCTGGCCAACAACTCAAAGGCAGGTTTCTCCTGTCTGGCACTGTTTCTTGTTATGTAGCCTTCAGCTATACTCATGGACTCATGTAGAAATATTATATGTGTAATTTTTCAGTTGTAGGCCTGCTTTTTAACATGGAGCTTTATGTATAGTTATATCAATTGGATGGAGATGAATCTAAGAGGAAATTTATTTGCCAACCCTGTTCCAGAAGCGACTGTTATTTTGTTTTTATTTTTTCTTTTTTTCAGACAAGGGCTTGTTATAGTGCCCAGGTTGGCCTTGAACTTGCCATTGTCTCTGACCTTCCAAATGCTAGGATTACAAATGCAGGCATGTGTAACTACGATAGGTTCAGAAAATTTAATTTTAGTGGGGCTTCATAAACAAAATCATTTTAAATGTTCTTAAATTTTAGTAAGCAGATCAGACTATTAATGTATTTCAGGAAAAACTCCATTTTATTAATGAAGAGAGAACTTGAGAATGTAAAATTTCTAGTTTTATTTTTTATTTTGAGACATTGCTGCATACACATGCTCACCTCAAATTCAAGGTCTTTTTCCTTCAGAGTCTGAGGTTTTGGGATTACAGGTATGTACCACCATGCTAGGTAAAAATTTATAATTTCTATCAGTAAAACAGAAAGAATAGCAGAAATGGACCTCATAACAGTTCCATGCAGAGAATAAGCTCCTGCATTGCTGGTGACTGAATATTAATATAGTCTTGCTCAAGAAATGCTTTGAGCACATGGAGTAGGAGTGGCAAATATGCTCCCTCCTAATTGTCTTCCATCCAGAGACCAAAAGTGTATGAAACAGTTAATGATCTGTATTGTCTTAACTCTGGTTATCTACTGTTTTCTGTGCTTTGATTTGAAGCCTTTGTTTTGGTAAAATTGTATTAAGCATTGCCTTACCACTTAACTACATCTGTCTGAGGTAGACTAGTATGATGGGAATTGGAGTTAGAAAGTAGCTGAAGTAGCATCTTTTGGAGAGTTGTTTGTTCCAACAGAAGAGATACTCTGGTAGGCGCCAGAATGGAAAAGAAATTTACAATCATATTTAAAACACTTAGAAATGCTTTTATTGTGGCAGTTGTAAAGTTGGGATTTTATTGTTGTTGTTCAAAAATTGAGTTAAAAATCCTTTGAGATTTAGCTAATTGAGTTCTTACTGTTTATTATTCACACACACACACACACACACACACACACACTTTTTTTTAAGGTGTCATTAGGGACCAAACCTTGAGCATTTTTGGCAAGTGCTGTTTCACTGAGCTACATCTTTAGCATATTTTATATTATTAAGGACTAAAAATCTTTCAAAGTAAAATTTGATGAGGGTTGGAATTTATCCTGAAATTCTTTCAACTGTAATGAATAGTTTAGAATTGTGACTAAAAAATTCTTTGTTGCTCTGGCTTGCTTTCTGTTGCTGTGATAAAACACTGACCAAAACCAACTTGGAGGAGGAAAGGAGTTATTTCACCTTATACTTCCAAGTATTAATCCAACTTTGAGGGAAATCAGGTAGGATCTCAGGGGAGGAACATGGAGTCAAGAACTAAAGCAGAGGAATGTTGTTTCCTGACTTGTTCCTCTGACCTGTTCCTGGTTAATCTGTTTTCTTATATAACCTAAGACCACCTGTCCAGGGTTGGCACTGCCCACAAGGGCCTGAGCCCTCCCACATTAAGTAGCAATTAAGAATATGCCTCATAGACATGGCCATAGGCCAATCTGATCTAGGAAGTGCCTCAAGTGAGGTTTCCTCTTCCCAGGTGTGTCAGGTTGACAACTGAAGCTATCCAGCACAGTTATATTTGAATTAATTTTGTTATAGACTTACTTGTGAATGAAAAAATTTAGAATCAGAATTGATATTAAGAGTCAGGCTATCATGATATTTTAGTGTGTCTGAATCTTGAAATTACCAGGTCTTATGTTTCTGTTTTATCTCACTTAGGAAAGGGAATTCTTGAAGAATTATGTTCAACGAATAGTTGATGTTCGACCCACATTGGTTCTAGTTGAGAAAACAGTGTCTCGGATTGCCCAGGACATGTTACTGGAACATGGCATTACTCTGGTCATTAATGTAAAGTCAGTGAGTGTTCTTAGTTTTGTTGTTACTCACTTAAAAAAAAATCATGGTTTTTAAATTAATGTGTATATGTGTTAGATGTGCAGAAATTTTATATCTGTGTTGTGCCTTGTATGTTGAAAGTGGGATACAGGTGTGGTAGCTCCTTCCTTCATTCCTTTGTTCCTTCGTTC